CTGGGAAAAATAGGGCCCAAAAGAGGGGGGGCCCCGCCTGGGGGGCTCCTGGGCTGCGGCTGACGCGGCCCCCGTGTCCCCACAGCACCAACAGCAGGTGGCCCAGGCTGTTGAGCGTGCCAAGCAAGTGACAATGACGGAGTTGAATGCTATCATCGGGGTACGTGGACTTCCCAATCTGCCTCTCACCGTGTGTATTCCCCTTTTATTCCTATCATTTACCATGTCCAGAGGCAGCCCTGCGCTCAGGAGGGCAGGCAGGGCGGCTCCCAGTCCTTGGCCATCCCAAAAACACCAAAACTGCCCCAATCCCTCAGCTCCTGGCTGTCCTAAAACTGCCCCAAAACTGCCCCAATCCCACAGCTCCTGGCTGTTCCTAAAAACCCCAAAATTGCCCCAATCCCACAGCTCCTGGCTGTTCCCAAAACTGCCCCAATCCCACAGCTCCTGGCTGTTCCCAAAACTGCCCCAATCCCACACTCCTGGCTGTTCCCAAAACTGCCCCAATCCCACACTCCTGGCTGTCCCCAGACCCCAAAACTGCCCCAATCCCACACTCCTGGCTGTCCCCAGACCCCAAAAGTGCCCCAATCCCACACTCCTGGCTGTCCCCAGACCCCAAATCCGCCCCGATCCGGCTCTCCAGGGTTGCAATTGGCTGTTCCCGGCGGGGCTGGGGGTGTTTGGGATGGGAGCCTCCCGCAGCCCCTGAGGCCAGGCCTGTCTCTGCCGGGTGTGGAATGTGCTGTGCCCTCGGCGGCGTTGTTGTCCCGTGCATTGACCCTTTCCCGCGGTTCTGATTGAAAATTAACGAGTTTAATCATTTCTTTAATTGCTGTCGCTGTCTTGCTCCTGCAGCAAAGCCTGGCACGTGGGAATTCCCGATCCACCTCCCGGGCAGGTGGCTCCAGAGCTCCTCTGGCTTCCTTCCCCAGAAAACACTCACTGATAATTATTTTTATTTTTTAATAACCATTTACGCTTCCTCAGCTTCACGGATCTTGGGAGCTCTCTGTGCTTAACTCGCTCTTCCATCCGTTCTCCCGTGCTTCGCGGGTCTCACAGCCGTGGGATCGCGCTCCTGCCGGTTTTGGGAGCGGGGAATCAGCCGGATCCCTGGTGGAGGGGCTGGTGGGAGCGCCAGGAGCGGGAGCTGGCACCGGGGGGACGCTGCTGACGGATTCGGGGTGGAGCGGGAGCTGCTGGAAGTGGCAGATGCTGGAATTCAGTTAACACAGGATCCCATGGATTGAGGGAATGCTGATCCCATGGTTTGAGGGAATGGGGATCCCATGGTTTGATGGGAATGGGGATGCCATGGCTTGAGAGGATGGGAATCAATCCCATGGATTGAGAGGATGGGAATCCCATGGTTTGGGATTGGGATCCCATGGTTTGATGGGATATTGATCCCGTGGATTGAGGGGATATTGATCCAATGGTTTGAGGGGATGGGGATCCCATGGTTTAAGAGGACTGGAATTCCATGGTTTGAGGGAATGCTGATCCCATGGTTTGATGGGATTGGGATCCCATGGTTTGGTGGGAATGGGATCCCATGGCTTGAGGAGATTGGGATCCCATGGTTTGATGTGATATTGATCCCATGGATTGAGGGAATGGGGATCCCATGGTTTGAGGCAATGCTGATCCCACGGCCTCCTGTGGTTTTTAGGGACGTTCCAGGTTCATCCCCGAGCGTGGAGCTGCTTTGGGTGGCAGCTGCAGCCGCTGAGTCCCCCAAGGCAGAGGATTTGGGGTTTTGCCCTGCCCTCAGCTGGTTGTTTCTGTGGGGTTCCCGCACCCCTGGCTGGGTTTGCTCTGCCCTGGGGTGTCCCTGGCTCCATCCCCAGCCTGCCCCACCAGCCCTGTGCACCCAGACCCCCCCAAAAATGGTGCAAAGCTCTTCTTTTGCCCCTTTTGAGGTCAAGAACTGTTAATTTGATGCATCTGGGCCGTTGTCTCGCGGCTCCTGCGCTCGAGGCTGGGCTGAAATGGAGCCTTGATTTGGTTGTAGCCCTGGAAATGATTTCCCTGGAAATGATTAAACCCCGTCACTAAATTTAACGCCGGCGCTGAGCTGAAGTGCTGAACCATTAAATCGGGAACAAAGGCACGGAGCGTGATGGACATAATCCAATTAAAGCCACTCCACCAGCAGACACTCCCTGCCAGCCTTCCTCCCAAATTTGGAGCCTCCTCCGGTGTCCCCATCTCCGGCCGAGGGACCCCGGGAGCTCCGGCGGCGCTGCCGGAGTCCCCCCGGGCTGGGTCGGCAGGATTGTTATCCCCAGCCTCCCGCTTTCCCGGGATATCGGGAGCCTCGCTCCCCGCTGGGGTCCTGCTGAGGCTGGAATTGGGTCGGAGGGATCCGGGCTGTGCCTGGGCTCGGCCGCTCCCAGATCCTGGAATGCTGCTCCGAATCCTCGCCCGGCGTGTGCCGCTTGTCCCCTGGTCCAGGGGGATCCGGGGTTCCCCAAGAGCTGCAGCGAACCTCGGCCGGCGGCTCAGCCCCTCTCCAGGCTTGGGATGAGGGATGGGAGGGAAGGGCCCTTCCCAGCAGAGGACAGCCGGAGCGGACAGCGCCTGCGAGCTCCAGCTGCGCTTTGTCCCCCTCCACGGAGCCTCCAGCACCTTATTCCCGAGGGATGCTCCGGAGTGACGGGAATTCCCCGGCCCGGGATGGGCTCCTCGGCAGCCCCCGGGACACGGAGCCTTTGGGACATCCCACGTGGATCCTGCTCCCCGCTTCCCGAAATCCAACAGCACCTGCAGATGTTCGGGGCCACCAGGGATGTGTCCCGACCTCGGTTCCTGCAGCTCCCAGAGCCCCGGGATGGATTTATCCATTGGAACCCTAAAAACCAGGAAGAAATCCCAGTTTTGGTTCTCCGCTGGAGCAGCGCTGATTCTCCTCCCCTGGGTGCTGCTGCCTCGCTGGTGCTGGGGCTGTTCCGTCCCCTGGGGCTGTTCCAGGCTTGGAATTCCCAACACGGACATCCTGGGAAGGGGATGGAAAGCTGCTGGGATGAGTTACGGCGTGCAGATGTTGCTGAGGATAAAACACCGGCTCTTGGAGTATTCAGGGATGGGCACCGACGGAGAGCTCCCGGGAGAGGAAATGTGGGAAGGGCTGGAGCTGCTGGAAAAGCGCTGGGGGCCGTTCTCTGGGACCACGCCATGGCCAGCCCTGCCTCTCCCTCGGATGGGTGGGAATCCCGTGAAGTTGGGATCGGGAAGAGCCGAGGATCTGTTGGGTTTGTTTTGGTGCCGGAGGGTTGATCCCGGCCCTGAGGAGCTGCCCGTGTGCCCCTCAGCCCTGCTCCTGCTTCGGGGACGCTCCGGAATGTCCATCCTGAGGGTCTCCCCACCCTGCTGGCAGAGCCGGCTCCCGCTTCTTGAGGGCTCAGGGATTTATGGATTTCCTTCTCCGTGTGGCTGCTGCTCCAGCCGGGATCTCGGAGCTGCTCTCGTGGATCTCCTGTGGATCTCCTGTGGATCTCCTGTGGATCTCCTGTGGATCTCCTGTGGATCTCCTGTGGATCTCCCGTGCCTGGGAATGCGGTCTCTGCCTTCAGCTCCCTCCTGGAATGTTGGTCTGGATGGGGATTTCCCTCTGCATCCCACGGGGATGAGGGAGCAGCTCGGGAAGGGCTGGGTGACCAGCCGGGGCCTGCTCCGTCCTGCTGTGTCCATGGATGTCACCTCTGCTGCCCAGCACGGCTCCTTCGTCGGGAACGGGCCAGAGCTGTTCCCCAAAACTTGGACTTGTGGTGGGGAATCCTGTCACGGAATCCTGGAATGGTTTGGGTTGAAGGGACCTTAAATCCCTCCAGTGCCACCCCTGCCATGGCAGGGACAGCTCCCCCTGTCCCAGGTGCTCCCAGCGCTGTCCAGCCTGGCCTGGGACACTCCAGGGATCCAGGGGCACCTGGAAATGTCCCTGCTGGAACCCTTGGGAACAGGGATGAGCCCTCCATCCCTGGGGCTGCTTTTGGGGTGTCCTTTGGGCTGGCCTTGTGCCAGCAGGTCCTGCTGCCCATCCCTGCCCCTCGGAGGGCAAATCCTGATCCCGGCTGCTTGTGGGGGCCTGGAGTGGCCTGGCCCACCCAGGTGTGTCCCCTCGCTCCAGGTGTGTCCCCTCGCTCCAGGTGTGTCCCCTCGCTCCAGGTGTGTCCCCTCACTCCAGGTGTCCCCAGCTGTGATTCCCCTCGTGCTTTCCTTCCCCGGGAGCTGCTGGAGGGGCTGGGGGTGCAGGCAGGAGGGTCCCAGGCAGGACCAGCAGCTCCAGGACCCTCCTGGCTGGACCGGGGGGCTCTGGGGAGCGGCTCCCTGGATTTCTCCTTGGATTTCAGCTGGTTTTGTGTTTGAAGCAGGGAACGGGTCTGCTTTTCCCTTCCTCTCCCCACAGCTGCTTTTCCCGGCTAAGCTGGGTTGGGTGGTGAATCTCCATGGCTGGATGAGTGCTGGGATGGTGGGATTCACTCCCAAAAAACCCCTGGGAGCAGCTGGGGGCCCTCTGCCATCCTGGCCGGACTGCAGCTCCGGGAATGTGGGGGTGAGGAGGATCCCTGCGGGATTTATCCAGTGCCAGGGGTCAGAAGGGGTTGGGAGCAGCAGGATCCTGGGATCCAGCACATTTTGTGGAATTCTCTCTTTGCTATGAAGAACGTGGAAGCTGCTCCTGAGCAAATGAGCAGAGCTTCCCTGTCCTGGGCTGCCCGGGAGGCTCCTGGGGGCTGGAATTTCCTCTCTCGCACGGCTTTGGCTGCTGCCCTCCAGCCACGGAGCGTCTCCGCCTCTTGGGTGGGATTCCCGGGGGGTTTTTATTTCCGTTTTACCGCTGGAAGAGCCAAACCGACCGTGTCCATCCCGGGGGGCGAGCCCAGATCCCGGCCCCTGTCCTGGGGCACCTCTGAGCTAACGGAGCTTCTCCTTCCAGGCGTCCTGCGGGGCCGCTCCGGGAGCGTCCATCCCCAGGACCGTCCCTTCCCTTCCCGGGAGCGCCCACGGCCGTTCCCCGGGGCTCACTGGTGCTTTCATTGCAGCAGCAGCAGCTCCAGGCCCAGCACCTCTCTCACGCCGCCCACGGGCCCCCGGTCCAGCTGCCGCCGCACCCCTCGGGGCTCCAGCCGCCCGGCATCCCGCCCGTCACCGGCAGCAGCTCGGGGCTGCTGGCGCTCGGCGCGCTCGGCAGCCAGGCACACCTGGCCGTCAAGGACGAGAAGAACCACCACGACCTGGACCACAGAGGTGAGGGGGCTGCGGCTGATGAGGCTCCTGCAGCTCCTGCTGCCCCCTCTGCCCCTGCGGCTCCTGCTGCCCCCTCTGCCCCTGCAGTTCCTGCAGCTCCTGCGGCTCCTGCTGCCCCTGCGGCTCCTGCTGTCCCCTCTGTCCCCTGCAGCCCCCTCTGCCCCTGCAGCTCCTGCTGTCCCCTCTGTCCTGTCTGTCCCCTCTGTCCCCTGCAGCTCCTGCTGTCCTTGCAGCCCCTGCTGTCCCTGCAGTTTCCACAGTCCCAGGATGTTTCACTTGGAAGGGAGGGGAAGGTTGGAACTGGCACCTCCCGCTGTCCCAGGGTGCTCCCAGCTGGGTTTGGACACTTCCATGGATTTGTGGCTGCTCTGGGCAAGCGGTGCCACCTGTGCCAGGGCCTGTCCCACCCTCACAGGGAGCAATTCCTGCCTGTTATCCCACCCAGATCTCCCCTTTTCCGCTACAAAGCCATTCCTTGGGTCCTGTCCCGTCCCAGCTCTCCCAAAGCTCCTTCAGGCCCTGCAAGGGGCTCTGAGCTCTCCCTGGATCCTTCCCTTCTCCAGGGGAACATTCCCAGCTCTCCCTGGATCCTTCCCTTCTCCAGGGGAACATTCCCAGCTCTCCCTGGATCCTTCCCTTCTCCAGGGGAACATTCCCAGCTCTCCCAGCCCGGCTCCAGAGGGGCTCCAGCCCTGGGGCAGCTCCAGGTCCCCCTGGTGCTGGGGGAGAGCTCTGATCCTGGCTTGGCTCGTGTCCCACCGCCCCATCCCTCGGGTCAGCTGCATCCAGATCAGGGGATTGCACTTTTAGGGATGCAGAATTCCCTAAAAGCCGCTCATTTGGAGCCTGGCTGCAATTCCTGTGCCGTGCCTTAATGGGAAAGCAGCCTTCACCCTCCTCCTCCTCTCCATCACCACCAGAGCCTTCCCATGGGCAGGGGTCCCCGGGAATTTGTGGGTTTTCCCATTTTTAGGGATTTAGAGGGTGGATTTGTGATTCCAGGTGCAAACCAGCAGCGTTCAGGATTGTCCTGGCAGGATTTGGGATCTTTTCCCGCGGGCAGGGCAGGTTCCCACAGCCTCTCTGAGCTCTTGGGCTCTGCTGGGGGATTTGGGGTGGGAAAAAACAAAGCAGTGAGACAAAACTATTGGTAATGCGATCCAGTTCCATTCCTTTTCCTGCATGGATTGTCAGAGATTCCAGGGAAATGTTCTCCTGGGTGTGGAGCTGGGCACCCAGGGCTGGCTGCAGGGACAGACAGACAGACAGACAGACCTGCTGCAGCGAGTTCAGGGCATTCCCAGCCGTGTTTGGCCAGAGAAATCACAGGAAGGACAAAAAGGGGCAGGGCTTGGATGGGAGGGAGGGATGGAGGGAGATTTTAAAGCTGGAGAGAGCCCGGAAAGGGTTTAAGGGTTTGAGTGAAGAGCAGGAGGTTCTGGGTTTATTTTTCTGGTTTGAGACTCGTGCTAACTTGCTTTATTTCCCTGTCTCTGTTTTGGCTGTGCCCTGCCCTGTGCCCCGGCATCTCCTGAAGAGCGAGACTCGAGTGCAGTAAGTCCCACTCCTTCCTTTTGCTCCCCCTTTTCTGCAGGTTTTTATTTACCCCTTAAAAACCCACCTGGTGCCTGGGAGGAGCTGCAGGGCCGCCTTTGGGCACGGCTCTCGCTAAACCATAAACCAGGCCATAAAATCCCTCAGCCTGCCTGGAGGATGTGCTGGGATGAGCGGAGTCACCTTCCCCGTGCTGCTGGCGGCTTGGGAATGTGATTTAAATCGCTCTGCCCGTGGCAGAAGGTCGGGAAATGCCAAACCTCCCCCAAATGGGAGAGCTGGGAAAGCCTTTCCGTGGAAAAGGTGGGACTGGAGAGCTGGGAACTTTTGGGCTGAGTGAGCGGGGTCAGACCCTCCTCGGGGGCTCGGGGTCGTTCCCAGTCGCTCCCCCTTTATCTGGGATGGGTGCTGAGCAGGACTTGGAAGCTCAAGCTGTTCCCAACCAGGGAAATCCCTGGATTTTGGAGAGCTCCTTGGGATGGGTTCCCTGGGAGCAGGGATGGAGAGGATGCTGAGGGTGGCAGGAGCTCATGGAACAACGGGGCCGAGCCCCATGCTCAGGGAAAATGGGACAGCGGCAGGAATTCCCGCAGGGAAAGGGCTGTGGAACACGGGCAGGGGAGGCCTGGACGCGTCCCTGAGCTCCCCGTGGCACGGCGGGACCGGCCCAGGATCCCGGAGGTCTCTCCCGAGCCCGGCGTTCCGTGTGAAAAGCTGCCAGGACAAAACCCGGCCGAGCTGCGGCTTTGGCAGCGATTTCCTGCCAGCTCCGAGCCCACAAACGGCCCTTTGGAGAGCGGGGAAGGGAAGTGCTCGGCCGGGGGGGAGAGGCAGAGGGGAATTGGGCATCATTAACCCGCTCCTCCGGCGGGCAGGGGGCCGTCGGAGCCGGGCAGCTTCCCAATCCATAAACTGCGAGCCGGGCTATTCCCCGTGGAGGTTTAATGTGTGCGATAATCAGCGTTAGTCATTCATATTTTCCCCAGCCTTTGCCTGTGCAATAAAAAATATTTAGTTCCTTGGCGGCGGGCCAGGAGCGGGGCTGAATGGATCGATGCCTCTAAATGCCTGACATGATTCTCTGGGAGCTGCGAGGGTTTTCAGCATGACTGCCTGGGAAGAAAGAGCTCCGTGTTATCCAAAGCTGCTTAGTGGGGACCGAGGAGAAACATGAACTGCTTTGCTTCTCCCTTTCAGCCGGGGAAGAGAGGCGGGCACGGCTGGGGAGCGGCGCTGGGGAGTGGGCAGAGACCCCGCTGCTCGCAGGGGTGGAGGGAATGTGCGGGCTGGGATGCGGGAGCGGCGCCAGGCGTCCTCCTGGCCGTGCTGCCGGCGTTTCCCGGGAATGCCGCGTCTCCCGGGCTTTGCTGCTCCGAGCCAGGGCAGAATTCCCCCAGTGAATCCCACAGTGCTGCCGGTCCTGCTCATGTGGGATCTCCAGGAGGTTTTGGGGATGTCCTTCTGCTCCAGGGCTGGGATGGGGCCGTTGCTTGGCTCCTTCTGGATGAGGCTCCCAGCTTGGCCAGGAGGGGAGAGCTGCTGGGCTCTGGAGCTTTCCTAGGAATGCCAGCACGGCCTGGGCTTGGCTGCTGGGAGCAGGGACAGAATTCCCGATGAGCCGTGCCACTCCTGGCCACGTGGGTTTTCTTCCCAGATGTTTTCATAAACAACCTCCTGCCAAAAACATTTTCCTGCAGCCAAGGCACTCAGGTGTCCATGGACATCCTGACAGCATTCCCAGCTCAGGTGTCCATGGACATCCTGACAGCATTCCCAGCTCAGCTCAGGTGTCCATGGACATCCTGACAGCATTCCCAGCTCAGGTGTCCATGGACATCCTCACAGCATTCCCAGCTCAGCTCAGGTGTCCATGGACATCCTGACGGCATTCCCAGCTCAGCTCAGGTGTCCATGGACATCCTGACGGCATTCCCAGCTCAGGTGTCCATGGACATCCTGACGGCATTCCCAGCTCAGGTGTCCATGGACATCCTGACGGCATTCCCAGCTCAGGTGTCCGTGGACATCCTCACGGCATTCCCAGCGAGGCTGATGCTGGATCAGCCCTGGATCCCGCTGCTCGTGGAGCTCCGTTTCCTCCTGCCCCCCCTCCAAAGCTTCTCCCACCTCCACAGAACAATTCCGTGTCCCCCTCGGAGAGCCTGCGGGCCAGCGAGAAGCACCGGAGCTCCACGGATTACAGCATCGACTCCAAGAAGCGGAAAGCGGAGGAGAAGGACAGCATGAGCCGATATGTGAGTGACAGCCACGGGGACACCTGGGGACAGCGTCTGGGGACAGGGGGCGGGGCTCGGGTGATGTTCTCCAGGTGTGATGTGGGTGAGCTGGGGCTGGAATCTGTGGGGTTTTATTTTATATTTCTATTATTGTTACATATTTATATTTCTATTATTTATATTTTTATATTTTTTATTTTTATTATATTTTGACATATTTTATTATATTTTTATATATTTTATTATATTCTTATATATTTTATTATATTCTGTATATTTTTATATATTTTATATATTTATTTATTTTATATATTAAATATATTTTATTTATTTATATATATTTATATATTTTTCAATATATTTATTTATTTTTATATATTTACTTAGATTTCATATTATTTGTATATTTCATATACTCTTTTAATATGTATAATATGTATTCTTTTAATATGTATATATTCTTTTACTATATATAATTAATTCATACATATTCTTTTAATAAGTACATACTTTTAATAAGTATAATATCATTGATATATTATTTATATAGTTGAAGTATTTATGTTATATATAGTATAATATATAAACATTTTACTATATATAATGTATATAAATATTATATTATATATAGTATAATATAAATAATTATAAATATAATATAATACTATTATAAATAATAATATAAATATATATACTGTAGTTAATATAATAATAAATGTACTGTATCTGCTATAATAATACAAATATATGCTATATATGCTATAATAATATAAATATACATACCATATATAGTATAATAATAGAAATATATAGTAATTTTATTATGTAGTAGTATTAGATAATAATTCTATTTTTATATATATATATGTACATAGATAGATATAGATAGATATAGATATAAATATAGATATTATAATTATATTATAATAATTCAGGCTGGAAAAGGCCTTGGGACCGTTGGGTCCCACCATCCCCCAGCGCTGCCAAGGCCACCGTAATCCATGTCCCCAAATGTCCCCAAGTGCCACATCCCTGCCCTGACCGGCTGCACCCCTGCCCTGGGCAGCCCCTTCCAGCTCCTGACTGCCTTTTCCATGGAAAGGCTTCCCCAGATCTCCATTCCCACCTTTTCCATGGAAAGGCTTCCCCAGATCTCCATTCCCACTTTTTCCATGGAAAGACTTCCCCAGATCTCCAGTCCCTTTTCCATGGAAAGGCTTCCCCAGCTCTCCAGTCCCACCTTTTCCATGGAAAGACTTCCCCAGATCTCCAGTCCCACCTTTCCCATGGAAAGGCTTTCCCAGCTCTCCCGTTTGGGGGAGGTTTGGCTCCCCGGGGCGCTGATCCCCCCACTTTGGGAGCTCTCTGCGGGCTGTGACACGCTTTGTGTTGCAGGACAGCGACGGTGACAAGAGCGATGACCTGGTGGTGGACGTCTCCAATGAGGTGAGGAGCGGCTGGCTCTGCCCCTGCCACGCTGTGGCTCGGGGATTTGGGAAGCGATTCCTTCGGCGCCGGCCGGAGGGAGCCCTTCCTTCCTTCCCTCCCTGGGAATTCCAAGGCTTTTCCCATCTCACAGGACCCCACCACGCCCCGGGTGAGCCCGGCCCATTCCCCCCCGGAGAACGGCCTGGACAAAGCGCGCGGGCTGAAGAAGGGCGACGCTCCCAACAGCCCGGCCTCGGTGGCCTCCTCCAGCAGCACTCCCTCCTCCAAGACCAAGGACCTGGGCCACGTACGTCCCTCCCGCGGGGTCCCCGCGGCGCCGCCCGTGGATCCCGGCAGCTGCAGCTCATCCCTCCTTTTCCGTCCCTTCTCCCCCCAGAACGACAAATCCTCCACGCCCGGCCTCAAGTCCAACACTCCGACGCCCAGGAACGACGCTCCCACCCCGGGCACCAGCAGCACCCCGGGGCTGCGGCCCATGCCCGGCAAACCCAGCGGCATGGACCCCCTGGGTGGGTAGCGGGGTGACCCCAGCCCTGGGGGATTGTCCTCCCGGGGATGAGGTTTATGGGGACCCCATCCAGGCCTGGACAGCTGGTGGGGTGAGGAGGGAGGTGCAGTCAGCGGGGCTGGGATGAGGGGACGCGGCCTCAAGCTGTGCCAGAGGAAGTTCAGGTTGGACATCAGTGGGAATTTCTTCATGGAAAGGGAGGTTGGGATGGGCTGCCCAGGGAGAGGTGGTGGAGACTCCATCCCTGGAGATGGAACGCTTGGATGTGGCACTCGGTGCTCTGGGCTGGGAGGAAGGCGGTGTTGGGCCTGGGGGACTCCACGGTGTTGGGTTTTTCCATGGCTGGGTCCTGCTTCCCTCCCTGCCTGTGTCCCCATCCCTGTCCCCATCCCAGTCCCATCCCTGACCGTGTCCCGCTCTCGGCAGCCTCGGCCCTGCGGACGCCCATCTCCATCGCGGGCTCCTACGCGGCGCCCTTTGCCATGATGGGGCACCACGAGATGAACGGGTCCCTGACGAGCCCCGGCGCCTACGCGGGGCTGCACAACCTCCCGCCGCAGATGAGCGCGGCCGCCGCCGCCGCCGCCGCCTACGGCCGGTCGCCAATGGTGAGCTTTGGAGCTGTACGTAGCACTTTTAGCTCCTTTCTTGCTGGGGGGAGGGCCTGGGGGGCGCGTGGGGGGGCTGGGATGTTGGGGCTTCTGCTCCCTACAGCCAGCTGTGGTTTGGGTTGGAGGGGTGGGGATGGGGATGTTCCCTGCTGGGGATGACGTGCATGTGCCATGGGATTGGGGTTTCTCCTGCCATTCCCATTCCTCCGCCCCATTTCCCATTCCTCGGCCCCATATCCCATTCTTCAGCCCCATTCCCGTTCCTCAGCCCCGTATCCCATTCCTCAGCCCCACATCCCATTCCTCAGCCCCACATCCCATTCCTCAGCCCCACATCCCATTCCTCAGCCCCATATCCCATTCCTCAGCCCCACATCCCATTCCTCAGCCCCCTCCTGTTGCCATTAAAGTAGGGATTGGGGTTTCTGCCCTCGTGGTGCCAGGCACAACGTGGCTGATCCCATCCCTGGGGCCTTGGGATGGACACGGGGACAGGGAGCGTGTCCCACCTGCTTCTGGCAGACCCCAAACCTTTGGCAGGTTCCCGTTCCTGCCGGGGGGACACCGATGATCTCTGGGCAGCAGGGGAGGGGCGGGGGCTGCCCGGTGTCCCCAGGGGTGATGCATGGGGAGCTGGGACGTTCCTGGCCCGTGCCCGGCCTCACCGTGTCCACACGTCTCTTGGCAGGTCGGCTTCGACCCACACCCCCCCATGCGAGCCCCGGGCCTGCCCTCCAGCCTGGCCTCCATCCCCGGAGGGAAACCGTAAGCCTCGCTTGGATTTCTGTGGGATCGGGGGGCACAAGCTGCCGGGAGGGGAGACGAGGTGGGGGCTTCACCCGGGGCCGGCGTCGCGGACACAACGTGACAGCCCCACGAGCCGCGTCCCTGGAGCTGAGGTGCCTCTCCCACCCCGGCAGGGCCTACTCGTTCCACGTGAGCGCGGACGGGCAGATGCAGCCGGTGCCGTTCCCGCACGACGCGCTGGCGGGGCCCGGCATCCCGCGGCACGCGCGGCAGATCAACACGCTGAGCCACGGCGAGGTGGTGTGCGCCGTCACCATCAGCAACCCCACCCGCCACGTCTACACCGGTGGCAAGGGCTGCGTCAAGATCTGGGACATCAGCCAGCCCGGCAGCAAGAGCCCCATCTCCCAGCTGGACTGCCTGGTGAGGGCTGCCTCCCCTCCCTGCCCTCACCCACCTCTGACATTGTCCATCGACTTCTCCCCAGCAGCATCTCTGCCCCACGTCGCCCTCTGTGCTCCCTCTTTGTCCTCCCTTTCCTCTTCCCTCCTTAACATCCTCTTGCTCTTCTCTGTTCCCAGCTCTGCCTTCCTTTACTGCCTTTTTCCTCTTCTTGTTAGCTCTTTTCTCCCTTTAAATGTCCCTTTCCCTCTTTCCCCATCAACGTCCCCTTTCCCCATCAACATCCTCTTTCCCCATAAAGGTCCTTCTTCTTCTTCTCCCCGTTGACATCCCTTTTCCTCTTTCCCCATCAACGTCCTTCTTCTCCCCATCAATGTCCCTTTTCCTCTTTTCTCACCCTGTTGCCCTTTCCCATCAACATTCCTTTCCCTCTTCTCCCCATCAACATCCCCTTCCCTCTTCTCCCCATCCAAATCCCTTTTCCTCTTCCCTCTCCCCACCCCTTTTCCTCTGCCCCCTCCACCCCCTTTCCCCATCCCCAGCCCGTCGCTCCTCCGGGCTCTGGCCCCTGAGGGTCCCTTGTCTCCCCAGAACAGGGATAACTACATCCGCTCCTGCAAGCTGCTGCCGGACGGCCGCACGCTGATCGTGGGGGGCGAGGCCAGCACTTTGACCATCTGGGACCTGGCGTCGCCCACGCCGCGCATCAAGGCCGAGCTGACGTCGTCGGCGCCCGCGTGCTACGCGCTGGCCATCAGCCCCGACGCCAAGGTGTGCTTCTCGTGCTGCAGCGACGGCAACATCGCCGTCTGGGACCTGCACAACCAGACCCTGGTCAGGTGAGCCCCCGGCCGGGCCCCGCCGTGGGTGGGGGCGGCAGGACCTTGGGGATGGGGGGGTGGCACGGAGCTTAAAGGGGTTTGTACCGCGTCACGTTCCTGTTTGTCTTCTCCTGTCGGTGTTCCTTTTCCTCTTCCTTTTGTCAACATCCCTTTTCCTCTTCCTTTTGTCAATGTCCCTTTTCCTCTTCCTTTTGTCAATGTCTCTTTTCCTCTTCCCTCCCTCAATGTCTCTTTTCCTCTTTCCCCACCCCATTGCCATCTCTTTCTTCTTCTCCCACCATGGTCCCATTTCCTGTTCTCCCATCATGGTCCCATTTCCTGTTCTCTCATCATGGTCCCATTTCCTGTTCTCCCATCATGGTCCCATTTCCCCTTTTCCCACCATGGTCCCATTTCCTGTTCTCCCATCATGGTCCCATTTCCTGTTCTCCCATCATGGTCCCATTTCCTCTTGTCCCATCACTGTCCCATTTCCCCTTTTCCCATCGCGGTCCCATTTCCCCTTTTCCCATCACGGTCCCATTTCCTCTTTTCCTTGGGCAGAATCACCTCCCACCATCCCAGGATGCTCCAAGCCCTCTCCAACCTTTCCTTAAACCTTCCAGGGATGGGGAATGCACCGTCCTCTCTGGGTGGTGCCAGGAGCACCCTCTGGTGCTGCTGCACCATCTCCTGGTGCTCATCCCCAAACCAGCCCAGTCCTTGGCCAGGATGCTCCCGGATGGATTTCCAGGGATGTTTGGTGTGGGTGAGCCACACAAACATAGCCTGAGCCCCTTTTTCCAGTGCTCCCCTTGCAGAATTCCATCCTTTTTTCCCGCTCCCAAGGCAATTCCAAGGCCACACGGACGGGGCCAGCTGCATAGACATCTCCCACGATGGTACGAAGCTGTGGACGGGGGGCCTGGACAACACGGTGCGATCCTGGGACCTGCGGGAAGGGCGGCAGCTGCAGCAGCACGACTTCACCTCCCAGGTACGGCACGGGGATTCATCCTGTGGAAAACACGGAGTCCCGCTGCGGGACCAGCCTTTTCCTGCTGGGAAAAGCCCTGTGAGCTCCGAGCGTGGCTGTTCCCGCTGGTTTCGGTGTGGCCCGGGCATGCTGGAGCCGTGGGGTTCCCTGGATCTCGTCCTCCTTTTCCATCCTTGCAGGAGGAGGCAGCTCTTCCTTCCCACGGGATGCCTGTGGATGTAGCGGGGTTCTCTGGGTGCCCCTGGGTGGGATCAGGGATCAGGATCCTGCCTCCTCCAGCAGAGCCTTCCAGAACCCCGATCCCAAGGGGGACCTCACAACCTCCGATACCCATGGAGGGGATGGAGCCACCCAAACCCATGGATCTGCCTTTCCAAACCCACTCCAGCTGCTGGCCAGCAGCTCCAGCAGTGCCACAGATCCCAGAACCGCTGGGCTGGGAGGCTCCTGGAGGATCTCTCATCCCAACCTTCCGCGGTGGGGCTGGGAATTCCCGCTGATCTCCCCGTCTCCCGCTTCCCGCAGATCTTCTCTCTGGGATACTGCCCCACGGGCGAGTGGCTGGCGGTGGGCATGGAGAGCAGCAACGTGGAGGTGCTGCACCACACCAAACCCGACAAGTACCAGCTGCACCTGCACGAGAGCTGCGTCCTCTCCCTCAAATTCGCCTACTGCGGTGAGCCGCTCCCGCCCGGAGCCTGGGATCCTGGGATCGTGGGATCCTGGCATGGCTTGGGCTGGGAGAGACCTTGAGGCCCCCCGGGATCGCTTGTGGAGGGGGATCATGGAACTATGGAATATTTGGGGTTGGAAGGAACTTTGAATTGGGAGAGCTCCTGCTATCCCTGGGTGCTCCAGGCCCTGTCTGAGCTGGGCGTGGACACTTCCAGGGATGGGAAACACGGATGTCCGTGAGCCACGGGAAGGGACGGTGCTCTGCGCAGCAGTGGGGCTGAGCAGGGATGTTCCCATGGGATCCATCCCATGGATGCTGCACTTGGGGTCTATCCCATAACCCCATCCTGGCTGTGGTTGTGGTTATTCCCATAAATCCATCCTGGCTGTGGTTATTCCCATAACCCCACCCTGGTTTAGGCGGGGTTTATCCCATAACCTCACCCTGGTTTAGGCGGGGTTTATCCCATAACCTCACCCTGGTTTAGGCAGGGTTTATCCCATAACCTCACCCTGGTTTAGGTGTGGTTTATCCCCTAACCCCACCCTGGTTTAGGCGGGGTTTATCCCATAACCTCACCCTGGTTTAGGCGGGGTTTATCCCATAACCTCACCCTGGTTTAGGTGGGGTTTATCCCATAACCTCACCCTGGTTTAGGCAGGGTTTATCCCATAACCTCACCCTGGTTTAGGCGGGGTTTATCCCATAACCTCACCCTGGTTTAGGTAGGGTTTATCCCATAACCTCACCCTGGTTTAGGCAGGGTTTATCCCATAACCTCACCCTGGTTTAGGCGGGGTTTATCCCATAACCTCACCCTGGTTTAGGTAGGGTTTATCCCATAACCTCACCCTAGTTTAGGCGGGGTTTATCCCATAAATCCATCCTGACTGTGGCTGTGGTTTATCCCATAACCCCACCCTGGTTTAGGTAGGGCTTATCCCACAGTCCCATCCCGGCTGTGGCTGCAAACGTCCACGAGGCCCCGCGGGATTTGGGAAGCGGCACTCGGATTGTCCCAGCAGAGCGGGGCTGGGCAGGATCCTCCAGGGAATCTCCAGCTTTTCCCGTTTCTCCCAAATCTCTGGGGTCAGACGAGCCCGAGGGGCCGGGGAAGGGTCGGGGAGGTGGCGCCGGCAGCGTTCGGCTGCTGATCCCAAATTCCCGGTGCAGGGAAGTGGTTTGTGAGCACCGGGAAGGACAACCTGCTCAACGCCTGGAGGACGCCCTACGGAGCCAGCATCTTCCAGGTGGGACAGCCGGCAGGGCCGGGGGCTCCTCCCACATTCCCATTCCAGAGCATCCTGGAGAGAGGGGAGATCCTTCGGGATGGCCGGACTGGTGTCGGGGTGTGGGATGGGGTGGTGGCCCCGGCATGGATGCTGCTGGGGAGATCCTGGAATTTCAAGAGGATGGGATCCTCTCCCAATCTTGAGGGATCCTCTCCCAGTCCAGTGGATCTTCTCCCAATCCAATGGATCCTCTCCCATCTCTGTGGATCTTCTCCCAATCCAGTGGATCCTCTCCCAATCCATTGGATCATCTCCCAACCCGAAGGATCCTCTCCCAACCCGAAGGATCCTCTCCCAACCCGATGGATCCTCTCCCAATCCAGTGGATCCTCTCCCCATCCGATGGATCCTCTCCCAATCCGATGGATCCTCTCCCCATCCGATGGATCCTCTCCCAATCCCGATGGATCCTCTCCCAATCCCGATGGATCCTCTCCCAACCCGAAGGATCCTCTCCCAATCCCGATGGATCCTCTCCCCATCCGATGGATCCTCTCCCAATCCCGATGGATCCTCTCCCAACCCGAAGGATCCTCTCCCAATCCAGTGGATCCTCTCCCCATCCGATGGATCCTCTCCCATCCTGACGGATCCTCTCCCAATCCGATGGATCCTCTCCCAATCCCAATGGATCCTCTCCCATCCTGACGGATCCTCTCCCCTCCCGCTTTTCCCAGTCCAAGGAATCCTCGTCCGTGCTGAGCTGCGACATCTCTGCGGATGACAAATACATCGTCACGGGCTCTGGGGACAAGAAGGCCACGGTCTACGAGGTCATCTACTGAGCCTGGGAATTCCAGCCCTCGGGAACGCTCCGGGAACGCCCAGGGGAGGCCCCGGGCCCGGCCCAGCTCCGCCCGGCACCCGCCACACCCGGATTTATTTGGAGATCTGCAGCAGCTCTGGCACACACGGAAGCCCTAAAAAGGATTTTTATTTGGTTTTAAGGTTTTTTGGGGTTCCTTTTGATTTTTTTTTTTTTTGTTGTTGTTTTCCAGTTCTTTCCGTCTGGCTTTGGTGGCACTATAAAGGACTCCTTTTTTATTGGGACTTTTATTTTTGGTTTTTTTTGTTGTTTTTTTTTGTGCATCCCGCATAAGACTTGTGAAAAATGTAAATACTGGACTAGGAAATAGCGTGGGAAGGGGGGAACCCTCCCAGTACACTTAGTTGTGTATTTTTGTCTGCTGTAATTGTATCCCACTGATGGTTTTTGGTGGTGGCAATTTTATTCTGGGGGTTTTTTTGGTTGGTTTTATTTTTATTTTTTTTTTTGGGTTCTATTTTTTTTTTTTTTTTCCACCCCCTTTTCCTTCCCCCTCCCTCCGGAAGCGTCCACGGGGACTTTGCCATCCTGAGCAGAGATGTCCAGTGGTGAAAAGTTGTTCCTCCTGTCGTGCGTCGTGTGTTAGTGATGGTGGGGAATCGCTGGGATCCTCGGCTACTGACGGGACATCGACACAACCACCTTGGGGTTTGTTTTTTATAGATGGATTTATCCTCAATTTTATTTTTTTTTTCGGTTTTTTGGGGGGTTTTTTTGGGGTTTTTTTTCTTTTTTTTGTTTTTTTTTTTTCCCGTGCTTGGATGTTTGAAGAAAAGGGGAAGCCCACGCAAGCCCTTCTTGGTCTTCGGACAGAAGCAAATGAGGAGTGATTTCAAAGAAAGCTTAGAAAATTCAGCTCAGGGAGCCACGAAAGATAATAGCAAACTTATGTGTTTTGTATTCAAATGAAAGTAAAGAATTAGAATTGATAACCTTGGAGAAAAAAAAAAAAAAAAGAAAAAAAAAGACAAAAAAAAGAAAAAAATTACAAGTTTTTTTTTTTAAAAAAAAAAAAGAAACAAAAAGTTTACTAACAAGTAGGGTTTGTGTGTGGTGGGGGGGCTGCTTGTGGTCCTTGTGGGCTTTATGGTCTTGTGTCTTCTGGTTTTATGGAGCAACTCCCTCCCCCCACAGGCCTTTTGTACTAAAGGGTTCCAAAAAGGACAAAAAAAAAAAACCAAAACCCAAAAAAAAAAGACAAAAAAACAAAACAAAACAAAAAAAAAAAAGACCTAAGGGGAAAATAAAAGTATTTGTGTAGCAGAAGTGCTCGCCTGTATCGTAGCACACGGCAGAGGATTTTTATACCGCATTTTTAAGGATTATTTTTGGCGAGTTGGATCTGGTCCCAAGGAGGAAATGGCAAATGTTTAGGGTTGAGTCAGGGGAGAAGGGTTTGGAGAAGAGGATGGAGAGGTGGGAGCTGGAATTGCAGCCTTCCCTGGAATTCCATCCCATCCCTCTGCAGGATCCATCCCATCCCATCCCATTGAGGGATCCATCCCTCTGCAGGATCCATCCCATTGAGGGATCCATCCCATCCCATTGAGGGATCCATCCCTCTGCAGGATCCATCCCATTGAGGGATCCATCCCATCCCATTGAGGGATCCATCCCATCCCATCCCTCTACAGGATCCATCCCATTGAGGGATCCATCCCTCTGCAGGATCCATCCCATCCTATCCCATTGAGGGATCCATCCCATCCTGAGGGATCCATCCCAATGAGGGATCCATCCCACCCAATCGAGGGATCCATCCCATCCTCCTGAGGGAACCATCCCATTCCTCTGTGGGATCCATCCCATCCCAATGAGGGCTCCATCCTATCCTCATGAGGGATCAATCCATCCCTCTGCAGGATCCATCCCATCCCAAGGGATCCATCCCATCTCGAGGGATCCATCCCTCCGCAGGATCCATCCCTTCCCGAGTGTTCCATCCCATCCCAAGGGATCCATCCCATCCCAAGGGATCCATCCTGAGGGTTCCATCCCGAGGGTTCCATCCCATCCTCCTGAGGGATCAATCCATCCCATCCCAAGGGATCCATCCCATCCCATTGAGGCATCCATCCCCTTCCTCTGTGGGATCCATCCCATCCCAATGAGGGATCATCCATCCCTCTGCCAGGGGCTCCATCCCATTCCAAGGGCTCCATCCCATCCCGAGGGATCCATCCCATCCCGAGGGTTGATCCCATCTCTGTGGTCGCTCCCAGGGAAGCTCTCCTGGGCGCTCCGGCCGTTCCCATCCCGGTGCGAGGGCTCGGAGGTGGAATTGCGGGAATGTTCCCGGCGGGAGGGAGGGAGGGAGGGGCTCCGTGGGACGCTGGGATCAGTTTGGGGCGCTGCCGATCCAAGGAAGAAGTTCCCTGCAGCTCTTTGTAGGGAAAGGCGTTTTGGGGCGCCCTGGCTCGGCTTGACCCAGCCCCGGAACCTCCAGGGCCGCTTTGGGGTCGGATTTTGGGATCCCGGGGGCAGCTCTGCCCCTTCCCAGCTCCTTCGGCATTCCCAGCTCCTCCGGGAGCCTTCCAGGGCCCCCCGGGCTGTGGGGTCACCCCCAGGCTCCCAGGGGGGATTTTCCTCCCCGAAATGCCAGGAGCAGAATGCAGGAATCGCAGGAATCGCAGGAATCGCGTGTTCCGGAGCCTCCCGGAGCCGGGCTCTCAACTTCACACCAAAGTATGTAGCAGAACCTGTACAGCTGTTAATAACTACCACTGGTTTGTTTTTTTGTTTTTTTTTGTAAAAAAGGGCCAAAAAGAGAAAAAAAAAAAAAAAAAAAAAGAATAAAAAGTCAATGTACCGAAGCTCAAGCGCGAGCCAAGTGTCTCTGAAGCTTCTGATCCAGGGAATTCCATGGAAGCGGGGAGCAGGGAGCAGGGCGGGGGGCACGGGAGAGCCGCGCTGCCGCTGGAGCGGGGATGGAGCCGGGATCCATGGGAGAAGATCCCAGCCCTGGGATCCTCATCCCTGGGGATCCATCCTTGGCTCCGTCCCCGGGATTTGGGAATGCTCCTGATCCCGGATCCCCGCGGCATTCCCGAGCTCCCGGCAGGAGACAGAGCCCTTCCCGGAGAGGGGAGAGGGATGCAGGGCAGGAGCGGCTGGCACCGCGGAAAGCCTGGAATTGCCAGGAATTCTGTGCTGGGAGAGCCCGGCAGGGGAGGGGAAGGGACGCCCAGGCTCCCTTCGGCCGCACAGGTACAATCTATTAATATTTATTTATATTTATTAATATTTATTGATATTGATAATTATTAATATTATTAATATATATAATATAGGATTTTTATATTATTTTATTTTGTCAGCACCCAAAGGCACGGCAGGGAGCGAAAGAGCCCGGCAGGGAAAATTCCAACCCTGCGGAGCCCCGGATCCCTGGGAGCGTCCCTGGGCCCGGCTGCCCTTCCCTCATCCCTCCCCGCAATTCCCGCTTTTCCCCGGATTCCTTGTTTCCCTGAATTCCCGCTTTTCCCCGGATTCCTTGTTTCCCTGAATTCCCGCTTTTCCCGGGATTCCTTGTTTCCCTGAATTCCCGCTTTTCCCCGGATTCCTTGTTTCCCTGAATTCCCGCTTTTCCCTGGATTTCTGGCTCTGGAAAAACCTGGTCCCTGGCACCCCGAGCTTGGATTCGCCCTAAATCCCCTCCTCTGTCCCCAGCACTGGGATCAGCGCCCGATTCCTGCCTGGAAAAGCCCATCCAGGATTTGGGAATGCTGGGATGATCGGGATGGGTTTGGGGGCACCTCTTGGCCCCGCTCTCACCCCCCGTGGGATCTACGGGAATAATGACCCTATTATTATTATTTTTATTTTATTTTATTTTATTTTATTTTACTTTATTTTATTTTATTATTATTTTATTTTTATTTTATTTTATTTTACTTTATTTTATTTTATTTTTATTTTATTTTTATTTTATTTTATTTTATTTTACTTTATTTTATTTTATTTTTATTTTATTTTTATTTTATTTTATTTTTAAACAAGATGAGTTGGTGAACAGCCAGCGTCCTCCGGGGGAATTCCTGGGGAGTGTTGATCCCAGCTGGAATTTACCTCGGAAGGGGGGGAAAAAAAAATTTAAAAAAAGGAAAAAAAAATTAAAAAAGAGAGAAAGAAAGAAGGAAAACAACAAAAAAAGCGCGAGGGTTTGGAAGGCTGAAATGCTGCTTTTCATAACAGCGTGAGATGGAGCTCAGCCTTTTCCTGACAGCTCCCAGATGGAGCCAAGGCTTTTCCACAACACTTCCCTCCGGAGCCAGCTCCAGCCCCAAACAGAAACTGGGATCACACAGGCTCCTTGTTATCCTGGAGAAATGCAGGGAGCTCCGGAGGGGCTGGAATTCCCAGGGCTGGATCCCTGCAATCCCTGCAATCCCTGCAATCCCTGCATCCCAGCCTTTGGAGCGGCCCCGGTGCCGCTCCAGCTCCACCCGGAATTCCCAAAAGCGGCTCCGGATCTCCCGGGAGCGTTCCCAGCCTGGAATTCCGGAGCTGCCCCATCCCTGCCTTCCCCCTCCCCTTTCCCCGGGATCCTCCTCCTTGGATCGCGGCTCTGGCACGCACCGGACCACCCTGGGATTCCAATCCCGGGAATTTATGGAGAGGCTCAGCTGAGAACAGCCCGGCTGCTTTTGGGGTTGGGTTTCATTGTTTTGGTTTGTTTTGTTGTGGTTTTTTCCCCCCTTTTTCCTTTTTTTCCTGCCTATAAATTTTTCATGGAATTTACAAAGCCCCAGAGGAGCCGGTGACTCCCGGGACATTCCAGAGCCCGGAATCCAGGGATCCCGGCAGGAGCGGGGGCAGCAGCGTTCCCCCTCCTCACAGGGGCACGAGGAATATCCATGAGCGTCCCCCAGGATCCCACATGGATCCGATCCCTGCGATCCCACAGCCGGCCCAGGCCGGGGGACACACGGGGGACACGGGGACAGAGCAGCTCCAGGCTGTGATGAGCCAGAGTCTGTCTGTCCCCATCCCAAACACCCCAAATCCTGTCTGTCCCCATCCCAAACACCCCAAATCCTGCCTGTCCCCATCCCAAACACCCCAAATCCCAATTTCCAAGATCTCCCCCTCAGGGAGGGGCTGGAGGAGGATTTGGGGTGGCCAGGGAGGGTTTGGGGCTGCTGGGGAAGGGTTTGGGGTAGCCAGGGAGAATTTGGGGCTGCTGGGGAAGGGTTTGGGGTAGCCAGGGAGGGTTTGGGGCTGCTGGAGGAGAATTTGGGGCTGTTGGGGGAGGATTTGGGGTGGCTAGGGAGGGTTTGGGGCTGCTGGGGAGGTTTTGGGGTAGCCAGGGCAGGTGTGGGGAGGAAGCTGAGGTAGCCAGGGCAGAGGCGGGGCCGGTGCCAGGGATTTTTGGGGAGGATTTGGTCTCCAGGAGCGCCGCCAGCAGCGGCGGGGAGGATGCCGGGGCTGCGGCTCGGAGCCATCCATCGTGGCTGCCGAAATGTTTCGGAATCAGCCGTTTAATGAGAACAAAAGAAATTAATTGGTGGTTTAGGCCTAATGAGACCGCTGCGCAAATTAACAGCCCTCATCAGCAGAAACAAACAGACTCCTTAAACGAATCGCGGCCCATAAAGAGAGGGGGGCCGGCCGGGGGGGGCTCGGCACCATCTGCGCAGGGAGAACCCCCCGCCCATCCCCGCAGCCATCCCCGCTTTATTCAGCCCGGCCGGGAGCGGGATAAAGGAAAAACCCCCGGAATTTGCATCTGAAAGGGGCGAGACGCGGCCCCCGGCTCGGGGGGCTCGGGGGGCTCGGGGGGCGTTTAGCCCCCATTGAGGCGGCACAAAGGGACCCCCCCGGGCCGGCTGCCGGAGCCTGCGGATCCTCACACAGCCCGTTTG